ACTCTTGATGTTGGCTCAGGTTATGATCTCAGGGTCCTGGGATCGAGCCCCTCATCAGGCTCCCTGCTCAGCACGGCGCCTGCTTCTCCCTCTCCCACTCCCCCTGCTTGTGTTCCCTCTCTTAAATAAATAAAACATTAAAATAAATAAATAAAAGTAAATATCTTGCTCTAATGTTAGGAGGAAAAAATTCAAATATAGTAAAGATCTGATGTTCATGAGGTACAAAGTAGGTTTTAAAGCCCATAAACAAGACTTCTTGTCAGTTTGCCAGACTGTACAGATGCAGAAGAATCCCCCTCCACAATTCTGCAAAAAAGTAGAAGATAAAATTTCACCAAAAACAATTTTACAAATTGCAGATGAGCTCAAGAAAGGGAAAAATGCCAGGTATCAGAAACAGAGGGGAACCCGAGATAAGAGACGTGAGCATGGAGTACTGGCCAGAGGGGCTCACGGAGGTCTGAGATTCAGGAGGGAGATGAATGTCTGGGGATAGCATCCGCAGACTAGAGGATGCATCCACTCTGGGCGGGGGAGAGGCAGGGAGGTGAAGCCTAGATGAATGATGGTTTCATTCATGAAACTGGGCCTAGCAAACTGCACCAGCAGCCAGGAGAAGCCTCAAGGAAGCTTGCCTCCTGACTACTGTTGTGAGAGAAAGAGGAAACCCCTGTGAACTTTAAGAGCACAAGACTGTGCCATACGTAGGTATGGGGTTCAAATTCACACCCCCAGGACAGTGCCAAGACAAACAGGAAGTCACTGCGCACGGATACTTCATGACTCAGGGAACATGGGACTCCCGTGGAAAACAGTCCCTGCTAAAGATGAACTTAAAGGCAAAATTAAGTATGTTCAAAGAGATGAAGGACATCAGGTACTAGTATTTATAGGAAAAGGAGGAGGGTGCCTGGGTGGCTCAGTCGTTTGAGCCTCTGACTCTTGATGTTGGCTCAGGTTATGATCTCAGGGTGGTGAGACTGAGCCCTGCCTTATTCTCTGGACTCAGCATGGAGTCTGCTTAAGATTCTCTCTCTTCCTCTGCCCTTCCCCTCCTACCCCCGGCTCACACACTCTCTCTCTCTCAAAACAGAAAAAGAAGGAGGAGAAGGAGGAATAGGCAGGTTTGAAAAATGAATCTGATAGAAATTCCATGGGCCTGGGTGGCCCAGTTGGTTAAGCGTCTGCCTTCAGCTCAGGTCATGATCCCAGGGTCCTGGGATCGAGTCCTGCATCGGGCCCAGTTGGTTAAACGTCTGCCTTCAGCTCAGGTCATGATCCCAGGGTCCTGGGATCGAGTCCTGCATCGGGCCCAGTTGGTTAAGCGTCTGCCTTCAGCTCAGATCATGATCCCAGGGTCCTGGGATCGAGTCCCGCATCGGGCTCCCTGCTCCACAGGGAGTCTGCTTCTCCCTCTGCCCCTCTTCCCACTCGTGCTCTCTATCTCTCTCCCTCTAATAAATAAATAAAATCTTAAAAGAAAAAAGGAAAGAAATTCCAGAATGGAAAATGGTTATTGAACTGTGTGAACACTGTTGGGTTGGTTGAAAATTGTGAATAATGGCTGATATTTAGTATGGTTTCAAGGACATTGTTCTTTTAACCGGAAAGAAAACTTTTCAGCCCATAGTTAGAAAAATGCCTACCATATAAATGGTCTTGAGTGTCAAACACGCAGATTGAAACCGAAGTTGAAATTGGCATGCAAGTTTTAATAAAGGGAGAGCTGAAGGGATCATCCCAGTGTACCGAAGAAGCCTTGTTTGAAGTGCTCTTCTTAAATGAAGTAGCTGCCGACCCACTGGGAACAGGCCATGCTTTGGTTCTGCTTACTGACCCACCTCTAAAACATTTCCCCCACTTCTCCCAGCTCTCCCCTCCCACCCCCAGCAGTCCGAAGATCAGGGCATCTGTAGCCTGCAGCCTTGGGACCACGGTGCGCTGTTGGGCCCACACCGGCTCAGCCCTCATTCTCAAGGGACTCTGGTGATCCAAACTGACCATCGTTACCACTTTTACTAGTCTTGATTTCAGAAAATACATAATGCAGGTGATTCTCCTCTTTTCTTTTAAGACTTCGAAATTAACTGTCATCCCACTGTCAATTTATGGTGATGTCAGGATAGACTAAAATGCTAATACAGTTTGATGGTTACCATTTAATAAACAGCTAGCTTTTTGTGTCTATATTTTTGAATGACCAGGAACTTTCTCTTCACTTTCTTGCCCAACACTTGCCTCACATGGCTCCATGTACAAGAGCACATCGATACATACTTCTTTATACTGTGTAATTATCTGAGAAGGTTTGCATCAGTGTCTTTTTATCTGTTTGTAAACTTATCTTCCTTAAATTGAAGATTTAAAATTTAAGTCTTTCTTTTATAAAACCATTTATTAAAGACAAATAAAAACTCAAATGTTATCATTTCTGAGAAGTTGCCTCTTTGACCCATATTATGTGCACCCTTCTGTGCTCTTAGCAGTTTGTGGGCATCTGAACCATCAAACTGATCATCCCATGGGCTTTAAGTGTATGTTTAGGTATCACCTGTTCTTGACTCTGAGCTCCTTCAGAGTAGTCTTTCTCCCAGTTTTTATCACTCCTCAGTACATACAGGCACCTCAGTATCTGTTGGGTGAATGAATGAACACTTGAAATAACCAGGTTATACTGGTACCACTGTATATCAGACCCCAGTGACCCTCAGGTGCCTCCTTTCAGTTATACTCAAGTGAACATGGTTATCTGCGATCTAGACGTTTTTTAACTTAGACAAAAGTTTTTGTATGCATTTAGTCCGTGAGATTGGAGCATCTAGAAATCTGTTAGCCATTTTCAAGAGCTAAAGAGTGTACAAAAATAAGGGAGAGCTGAACTAAGGACAATTAAAAAGGTACAGGATAATTGGAGAATTCGCTTTTTTTTTTTTTTAAACATCTTTACTCTGCATGGGGCATGGAGGAAAGGTGTTGAGAAGACCAGAAAACTACATCAGGCAAGAATCCATTTCCCTCCCCTTCCTTTTCTGTTATCCTAGGAGGGAATTTTATACCCTATTCTTAGAGCCAAGGAACTTAGAAGGAGCTAAGAAAAAAGGGATGAGCCATACACACAAAACGAAGGACTTTATATTCCTAAAGTGTAACCAGTTAGGGGATAATAGCTTATTCCACTGATGTTAAATCACAGAAAGAGGGAGAGAGTAGAATTTATAAGAGGAAAGAGGGGAAAAGGTAAGTTTTGAAGGTCTTTAAAACACTAAGGCAATAACCCAACTGAAATTGGAACTAAACAGGTAAGTAACATACAGAAAGATGAGAAAGTTCTTAACAGTGTTGCTAAACCTTTTGAGGAAACTTAAAACCTATTCCCAGAGTTTTAGTTCAGTCTTCTCAAGATATAGTTTATCCTTGATCTATTTGAAGTAAGACTCAGCCTGCTAATTCCTGTTTTGGTTTTTCAAGAAAAACTTCTTTTCCAAAATCAAATCTATTGAAGGTAAAATAATTTAATTAATTTTTTTAAATTTTATTTTATTATGTTATGTTAGTCACCATACAGTACATCATTAGTTTTTGATGTAGTGATCTATGATTCATTGCGTGTAACACCCAGTGCTCCAGAAGGTAAAATAATTTTTAACGTCAGAGGTTTCAAAAGACGTTGGACTACCCCCACTACCTTAGGAATCATTTTTCACTCTAATTGGGCACCGGGTCCTGTTTCATTTTTAGTAAAAGAGCATCATTTTAGCCCATTTGAAATAATAAATTTAAAGCCACTGTAAAATGTTTATCATAGATTTGATTTGAACGTGATAGAAATTGATGGTTTATTTTGTATCCAAAAACCCTGAGAAATATTCACTTACCATGTGATTGCCAATAACTTTTCTCACAATGCAGGGTGAAATCACAGAACCAAAAATAGTGGAACCCAAGAAGTTGACAACATTCGAATTCTTAGGAGCAAAAAAGGATGTATGCTAGAGAACTAGTTCAGATGCTGAGCGGTTTTGTTTTGGTTTCACAGCTTATTGTTATTTTAAAGCACACATAGAAATTCCTTTATACACACATTTTGGTGAATTTATAACAAACAATAACGACAGCCAATGAAGCTACCACATTTTTCTCCTATCCCAGGTTGTTGGTGTAGCCCAGGCCATCAACAAGAAATCGGGAAATGGTGGGACATTTACTGAAAAAGATGAAAAGGTACCAAAACTTACATCTGATGTGACCTCAATTTAGGAAGATGTGTTTTCCTTATAGTATATAGACCTCTAGAATTAGCTGTCCCTGAAATTGTTGATTGCAAAAACCATTATGCTTTAAAATTATCTGAAATGTTCAAAAGTGTCTTTTTCCTACCGTGAAGTACAGTGCTGACTTTGGAGTACTCGTGATAGAAGCCCCCCAACTCCCTCCTCACTGTGCTGCCAAGCCTCCCCCAGGGCTGTGTGCATGTTGGGGCCATCCCGAGGGTGACACGGTATTTTAACTATCCCATTTACCTTTTCATCACTGCTATAAAGAAATTCAACCCTGAGTAAAAACCCTTGAAGCACTGCTCCAAGTTCTGCACTCCAGGCTGGCTAAAAATTGGAGTTGCCTCCTGGTGAAGCAAATTTCAAAATGTTTTATAAGCTTTGCACTCAGATGGTGGGTCACCAGGGTGTGAATTCAAGCCGGGTAATGTTAATTTAGCTTCAGAAAGAGCAGCAGTCAGCATTATTTTATTACTCTTCTCATCCAACGCTGAAGGAATACATCACATACACCACATCGACATGCTTTCCGTGTAAGGACAGAAGCCCCTAAACCTGTTTATAACTTCATTCTGTCAGTAGGTCTTATTATTTCTCTTCTTGAATGTGTAATTATATGTATATCATGGAACCCAATGAATTCTTCTTATTCAAGCCTGTTGCTATTTAAGTCACTCCCCTGAAAATTAGTAGGAGCTTTTGAAAGACATTCAAACAAGACAGAGTTATTTTTGTCTCCATGGTGTAGGCTGTATTGGCACTTGTGTGGGTCCCCATGTCTTAACTGCTTCAGAACTTAGCAAGTACCTTTTTAAATCAGTGTTCTAGACATCTAGTCTCCTATTCTGTTAATGACACCTGAGAATATTTGGTGGGGAACATGGTTCTAGATTGGCTTTATATTTCATCATTTGTTTATAGTCCATTAATGTAAACCCCTCTCGAAAGATTTGCGTTCTTAGGCTGTATCATCTCTTGGCAAAATAAATCTATGATTGTGAATAAAGTTTCCCATGGAAAGACTTACTTTAATCAATAATTAATATACCTGTGAGCATATCACCTTAGAATAGTATAATGAGGATGACAGATCCATGTTAAAACATATTTAAGCTAATTATTTTATACAACTTTATGTGAGACTATTGCCAATATTCTCAAGTGTGTTAGCTTTCGTTTGCCCCAGTAATGAGTCACAAGCTATTTATATAGTTTCAGCACAGATCCAACTCCTAAGATCATTCAGAGACTACACCAAATTTTGCATAGGGTGAATTTCAATTTCAAATGATATAAAGAGATCTGTGTCCTACTCCCTTCCCTATTCTCCTTGTTAATTTGTAACTAATGTATGACTTAAGGAGACTGTTCATACTTGTCATCTATTTGTTGTGCTAGTTAGCTAACACTTGCTTTGCATTCATTCTTAATTTCCTGCCGAATTAACATGTCCCCTTTGGCTTTCTAATATTTGTTTCAACTGTAAACACTTTTGAGTGCCTTTCGTTGTTTCAGGCACTATAAGACCATTTTGTAGACAGCTCTTAATCTGACTGTTATCTTACCTCTTTTCTAGGACTTTGCTGCTTATTTGGCATTTTGTGGTATTGTTCTTCATAATGCTCAACTCTATGAGACTTCACTGCTGGAGAACAAGAGAAATCAGGCAAGTCTGATTATTAAAGAGAGAGTGTAGAAATTGTTTCTTTAGTTGTTAAATTTTTATCCAAGTAATATATGTGTATGATTAAAAAAATCCAGTTAATATTTTAGCTATATCTTTTAATAATTATTTCCATTTCCTATTTTCCATGCTCTGTTGCTGTATCATGTATATATGTATCATGATAATAAATATATCATTTATTAACTTAACAGATGTGGAGTTATTTGATTTATACCACTCTTTACTTGCCATTATCCTTTTCCTACCAATATCATTATGTCTGTTTTAAGTTACTGAATGGACTGCGTTTGTCATGTTAAATAAGGCTTTCAGTTCTTGCTCTGTCAACTAGAGACATCATCTCATAATTCCATGCTTTGTAAAATGAGGATCTTTCCTTCCCAACTGCTACTCCTTACCTTTGCTTTTCCCATCTGGACTTTTCTGTTGCCCACAACAATAACATATATATTGTTCTACAACCATGGTTAGCTTTTGGTAAGCTTTGTCTAGTTTAATTCTAGAGTTGTCATTTAAAATAAAGTGTTTATAAGAACCATGACTATGTAAATGTTGTTCATATTACATTTGTTATATGACTTCTAGTTTTTCCTGATGTTTCTGAATTCCATTCTTTTTTTCCCCTTGAACTGTTTGCTCTAGTGTAGCCTTATACTATTGGTTTTTCCCTCAGACTCCCCATTATTTAGGCATTCTGTTGAGTTCTTTTTCTTGGAGATCTCCAAATTGAAGTTCTCTGTTGTTTCTCTTCCAAGCTAAGCTGTTTTTCCCCATGCCTGCTGCATAGATGTCATCATAGAATTTTCCTTCACTGCTTTCTCAGAAGGACTCCATTGGTTATCCACTGGATCCCATAACTCCTTCTTTCTCAGTTTATGTCCTTATTTTATGGCAGCACATTCTCAAATAATTACTTGAGAAAGAATATTGATCAGGTAAATTTTCTGAGTCCTTGCATAGCATGAAAATGCCTATTGTACCATCCTACCACTTTGACTGGGTATAAAATTCCAAACTGAAAAATCAGTTTCTCAGAATTTAAAGCGGTGCTTTGTCTTCTGACTAGCATCCATGTTGTTCTGATTCTTGGCTCTGTGTAGATGTTTTCTTTTTTTTTTTTTGTTTTTGCTTATAAGCTTTTCAGATCATTTCCCTCTCTGCTTTTATAGCTTAATTTTATAGGATGACTCTTTTTTTTCATTCATCATGCTGGTAACTGGTCATCCCTTTCCATCTGGAGACTTAAGCTCTTCCATTTTATATAATTATTTTTCATTATTTCTTTGATAATCCCTGTCTCCCATCCTCCCATTTTCTCTTTCTAGAACTTGTGTTAATAAGATATTGGATCTTCCATTGCCTTTGACTGCAGTATCTTCCTAACTGTTCTCCCTGCTCCATTCTTGCCACCCATTAATCCAGTCCCTGTTTTTACAAACATAGCTGCAAGCCTACCACTTTCTTCCTGCAGTCCATCACAGCCCAAGCTGCCTCTAAAGACACACAGGGCTTTTGAGGTTCTTTCTCCACTTGACTCTGCCATCTCATCTCCCCAGCTCTCCTCTTTACACTCTAGATTCTTAAAACTTGATCAAAACATGCGGTCTGCTACTGTCTCTCAATTCAGTTGTTTTTGACTGAAATATTTCCCTTTCGCACTTTACCTGAACGATTCCTGCTTATCTCTCAGGCCTCAGCTAAGATGGTATCTCCTCCAGTCAATTTTCTGTGATACCCTTTCTTCCTCCTCATCACACAAATATTTTTGTGAGATTAGAAGAAATTCTGTAGAATTCAAAGGAAAGTGAAATTACCAGGAAAAACACAAAAGAAGCTCTTAAAACTTTGTCTGTTTTGGACAATATTTACTGTGCTATGTGAAAATGCTGATAAATGTTGATCTCAGAAGTTGGGAACAACAGCAACGTCTGTGTGTTTTATGTATCAGATGCTGTTCAAAATGCTTTATAAATGTTTGCTTATTTAGTCCTCACAATAGTCCTGTGATTTGGTATTACTTTTACTGTTATCCCCATTTTTAAGGAACTGGCCCTACATCACAAAGCTCGCAGGAAGGGAAGGCAGGATTAAAAACTGATGACTCTGGTTTTAGAGTCTGATTGTAACCGTTGTACTAACAGTCAATACGGAAGCTCTCTTGGTAAACAGAGACTTATATATTTAATACTTGAATGCAAACTTGGTTGCAACTTGTTAGATTATAAATAAATAACTTATAAACTATATAAGTCATTGTATTGCTTTAATAATTGCAGATAATTATTAAGTAATAAGCTCTAAATTTTCCTGTCTAGGTGCTGCTTGACCTTGCTAGCTTAATATTTGAAGAACAACAATCATTAGAAGTAATTCTAAAGAAAATAGCTGCCACTATTATCTCTTTCATGCAGGTGCAGAAATGCACCATTTTCATAGTGGATGAAGATTGCTCCGTGAGTACAGAGTATGACTTTTTTATTTTTAGAAAGACAGAAATTATATTCCTTAAAGTGCTGCTTTTAAACCTCATGTTAGCCTCAGATCTCTCTGAACCCCAACTGTATATGGTTGTGTATGCAAAGCCAATCAGAGTATGAGCTGTTCTAGTTGAAAGGGGCTAGAGGTGAGGTTGGAGGATGCGATGCCTTCAAAGCACCCTTTCACCTTTGTGTCCCTCCACTGAGTGGTTATCTTGGGAATGTCTGTGTGCTGTTTTTGTCAATGGCTACACTTCCTTGATGGAGAAATACATTGTCATTACAGTATGCAGACCTTTTGTGGTTGGGAATAGTGGTGCCCTGGTTGGTCTGAGCAAGTAGACCTCCATTCTGAATGGGTTGGGAAAAAATTTTCTTTTTATCAGAAATTGTTTAGAAACCAAAAGGCATGGCCCAATAGAGGCAGTATTATTAAAGGTGCCTATTAGTCCTAAATCCTTTACCAACAATGCAAAACCACTAACTGTTCTAATTGGTAGATTTCAATCCATTGCTGTGTAACATAAAGAAACAGATGTGTGTGGAAAGATGGAGTGTTCTCATTGAGTGCTGGTTACTTGTAGACAGGCCAGTTGAGGTTGTGGTTAGAATCAGAGCTCCTGGCCTAGGGCAGTTTTCCTTTATGCAGTTTTTTTCCCTTTATAACCTATGAACCACTGTTCCTGGGATATTTCTTTTTGATGTCGTTGTTTATTTTCTTTTTCCTTTAGACCCTGAGAAAAGGCTCTTCATTGGTGGGTTAGGAAAGAGAGTGGGGATCACCCACCACTGTGTGGTCAGTTGTAATCCATGTATGATATCTGAATTGATGGGTTTTTGGAAAGTAGAATAATAAAAGATATGTAATACTTATATTAAAATTTTAAAAATTGGTTTAGATAGTAAGACTGTACTATATGACTCATTATCTCAATCATTTTGTGTGTGTGTGCATGCGTGTCTAATTCTCGTTAACTGGCTATCATATGAGAATTTACCGTGCTATAAGGTAATCAGTATTCTCATAGATATTATTTCATATTTTCAATCAGTTATAAAGTCTTTAATATGGAGATGATTACAAGTAGCTATCCTTATAAAGTTCAGGTCAGAATTCATTAATGCAGTAAGTCAATTTACAATTTGTGCTCTGTGACCTGTTCTTTAGCATTTAATTTTTGAAAGTTATATGTACGGCACTCCTTTTTTAGACAACTTAAATATCACTTTAATTAACATTCAGCTCATGCTTTTACCAGTTACCATCTATCATGACAGCAACCGACTTGGATCACTGGTGCTTTGAAGTATATATAGCTCAGTTATATGCCGTTTATATATTCTGCTCACTTTTTAACTTAATTTTAGGAATCAAGTGACCTGATGTTCATTTATATTATAACTTTTTGATTAAAATTATTTCAGCAACATGAGCAAAAATCCAAATGTAAGCAAGAAAAATACTGTACTCAGTTCTTCCCTCCCCAAATTAAACTACTATCATTGTTTTATTTCTGTGTTTCCCTCCAATTCTTTATTCAGTTGTAAATACAGCACGGGTATGAATATGTATTCTATTTTTTAATGTAATTTCAAAGTACTTGTCTATGTTGCTAAAATCTTCGCAATTATTTTCATTAAGTATTCATAAAATATTACTGAATTGCATGTCTTTTAAAGAGATCTAACCACAACAGCAATCAATGTATGCATAAAAGCTAAAACACGAGGATTTTGAATAAATATGGAGAAAATTTGAAGCTAAGTTATTCATTAGCACCTGCTAGAAAAACAAAAACCAAGTAATACGCAAATGAGCATTTTTGCAGGTGAGTCTCAGAAACAATAAGAACGTGGGAAGCAGACTTGAGGCCGTCAGGCAGTGAGTGCTTGTGTCAGTTTAGTCTGAGAATAAGTTCAAAAAATATCACAAGTATTGGTGTCTTCCGTCAATTCCACTGAGTTGCGTGTGTGTATCTAGATAGATTTCATTACATTGTCAGACTTACTTCTCAGTCTGTGTTGTCTTTCTGTTTTCAGGATTCTTTTTCTAGTGTGTTTCACATGGAGTGTGAGGAATTAGAAAAATCATCAGATACTTTAACAAGGTAAAATAACTCATTCTCTGTCTATTTCACAAGTAAGCTGACCCTTGAACAGCACGATTGGAACTATGTGGGTCCACTGAGAGATGGATTGTTTTTTTATAAATATAGTACACTACTATAGATGATTTTCTCTTCCTTAAATGATTTTCTTAGTAACATTTTCTTTTCTCTAGCCTACTTTATTGTAAGAATACAGTATATAATTCATATAACATACAAAATATATGTCAATCGACTATATATGTTATCGGTAAGTCTTCTGGTCAACAATGGGCTATTGGGTAAGTTTTGGGGAAGACAAAAGTTATATGCAAATTTTTGACTATGTGGGGTGTTGACATCCCATAACCCCCACATTGTTTAAGCCAGCGCTGGCTAAACTGTTTACTGTATGACCTGTTTAGTTTAAGACATAGAAGCTACAGGCTGCTTCCCTCTGACCATCAATAATTTTATTTGTAAAAAATACTTTACTATTTGATGACAGAGTTCCAGAACTTTTTCCCCCTACAGTTGACCTGTAAGAGAATTGCTAATATAGTGAATGGTGTCCAAATTAGTATAGGCCTGGGTATGGTATTTTTGTGAACTGGCTCATTTAAGATCTATAAGTCTGTATTGCAGTTATATGTTTCACTGCATATTGGACCCTCACTGGAAATTTGATAGGCTTCTGAACAGACTTCTCTTTGAGTCTGCTGTGATTTGGAATCAGCCACGGGGATTTAATTAATAATTAAAAGGAAGCCTATGAACCCAATCACACCAATACATATACCCGATGGCTAGAATCAAACCAGATCTCTATTGCAGTTCATTTCTTTGTCATGTTTTTTGTAATTTAAAAATTTGTATTAATTTTTTGTTGTTAATTATCACGTGGTTAATACAAAGTATTGATATGATTGAGATTAGAGATATCATTTCCCCAATTTTATTTGTGCTTTTTGAAGAACTTTAGAAAGGATTTAGAGTAAACTACCAAATGTTCTCTTTCAGATTCTCTTTTTCACCCTTAGCAAAAATAAATAATTTTCATTGTTCATTTGTTTCAAATTATTTCACTTCCTACAATCATTTGTCTCAAATTATTTTATCCCTAATTATTGATGTTATATCTAAAAGCTTCATATGATCATGGAAATAGAACATTGTCTTAACTTGCCTATTTGATATTAAAGTTTCATATTTTTTTCACTACAGTTGACCTATTGGAGCATTATTTCATTTAGTGGGTGGTGTTGCAATTAGCACAGTCCTCACTAACCAGGCTCTTTGGTGGTGGTGCTTTAAAAATAACCTCTGACAAATCTTAACTGTAGAACATTCTATAAGATAACTGGCCTGGTCTTTTAAAAAAATCGGTGTCCTTGAACAAAATGGAGGGAGGGACTATCTTGGACATAATAGCCAAACGCAATGCATAAATCTTGGCTGGATTCTCATTAAAACAACTATCAATGAACAGTTTTTGAGAACAATTGGAAATGTGAATATGGACCGGATGGTAGATGGTTGATGGGGAGTTACTGTTACTTTTCTTTGGAAATAAGAAGATACTGTGGTTAGTAGGAAACTTTTTATTTTTAGGAAATTCATCCTGGTGTATTTAAGGATGAAATGTTAGGATGTCTGCACCTTACTTTAAAATGGTTCAGCCAAAGATAAATAAGTAAATACATTTAAATTTCATATATTTAAACAAATAAGTATATTCACACAAACATATGTTGATAAAACAAATCGGTGAAACATTAAAAATTGTTGAATCTAGAGTAGGATATTACTTTCAACTTTTTTGTATATTTCTTTTTTTTTTTTTTAAAGATTTTATTTATTTGACAGAGAGACACAGCGAGAGAGGGAACACAGGCAGGGGGAGGGGTAGAGGGAGAAGCAGGCTCCCCCGCGGAGCAGGGAGCCCGATGCAGGGCTTGATCCCAGGACCCCGGGATCATGACCTGAGCCGAAGGCAGACGCTTAATGACCGAGCCACCCAGGCGCCCCAACTTTTTTGTATATTTCAAAATGTTAATAAAAATTGGAAGAAAATTGTTGTAACAAAAAATTAGAAACAAAACGAAAATCATCTCTGTAGATCATGTAAAGCAGAATTGCAAAGGACAATTGCCTGAGTTTACAGCTGTCTTCAAGAACAGAATACTTCAGTGGACAGCCTGGTTTTGTTCAAGCCCTCTTAAGACTGAGCCCCGGGATCAGCGTGAGGCCTGCAGACCTGTCCTCCATTGTCTTCCTCTTCCCTCACCCTCTCTTTCATGTCCTGTCCTCTCATGTCTTCCCTCAGCAAGAGGGAGATACCGTTTACCAGAGTGACCTAAAGTTTAGTTGTTTAAGTGATTCTATGTAAGTCAAGACTCATTATTTCTAGACTATTATTTTAACAGTCTGATACAATGAAATACGTTTTCTCTGATTAAAAGACTTTGAGGACTTAGCAAAGGGGCAGATGTAACTTGGGGGCAGCTGGGGAATTCATTTGCCTCCTGCTACACCTGACTCAGGCCTTTTCTGCTGATGTGGGCCTGGGGTGCATAGGAAAAGTAGATAAACCATGTTATTGCTAGAGATTTTTCTGCTACCTGGGGTTTTTCGTTCACAAGGTTAAATTGAGTAGCCTACCCCTGCTTCCCTCTTGTCATTGCTGGTCATGACAAATATCTGTCCCATTTCCACGTGTAGTCTTTCCTAAGCCCCTCTGTGTGCCACTGTATTTTCTGGCATATTGGACATTTAGTTAGTATCGAGTCCTTTTTGAATATCTGATAATAAGCCCATGTCTTGGTGATCATGTGTTTATCCCTTTTAAATGCTGGTATCTCCTTCCTAAATCAGTAATGAAGTTTCTTATTCCTAGGAAGAACATCAATATAATTTTGATTTTATGATGCCATAACATTTTTGTTGCTTTTTATAATGTTTTAGAAAGCTTCTAGATAAGACACATGTAAATATTTGATTCTTTTACTTTTCAGATTGCATAATGAATTGCTACATATATAAATATAGACATATTTAATGTTTTTACATACATCCATAGCTATGATACTGTATATTAAAAGTATAAAATGATGGAATGATATGATATAAATGATATGAAAATAACATATATAATATAAATGATATAAAATGACCATATATGGAATTTAAGAAGCAAATGAACAAACAAAAAAGAGACAAACCACAAAACGGAATCTTAAATACGGAGAATAAATTGGTGTTTGCCAGAGGGGAGGTGGGTAAGGGGATGCGTGAAATAGATAAAGGGGATTAGGAGTGCACTTGTCTTGATAAGCCCTGAGAAGCATATGGAATTTTTGAATCATTATATTGTACACCTGTAACGGATGTAACACCATATATTATACTTGAATTAAAAAAGTAAGATCAAGAAAAAGTTTAAAATGATGAGTTATCTACATTTACCTTTGACTATTTGTACAGGAGCATAAGTCTTGTATAATTACATTTTACGTATTGGCATTTTGATTTTATTACAAATTCAGCCTGGTCCTCTAATTTCTAATGGTAGCCGAACAAGCCTATTTGGTGTGATAGTGACCTCTACTGGTAAATATGCATTAAAAGAAAGTATAGTCTGATTTGTTTCTGATGAATACTATGTTCCCTTTCGGTAGACAAAATGGAAGGTATTTTTCCATTTATTTTTTTAGTCATTCCAAGATAGTTTTAGTATAAAGATATTTTTATAAAGGATAAATAGGTCAGGTTGATTACCTTAAAAGAGAGTAATTTAATGGATCATTGTAACTGCTTCATTAATTTTACAGTATTTAAAACTATTCACTAATGCCTTATATCAGCTAAACATTTTATTTATTTAAAAAAATTTTTCCAAGATTTTATTATTTATTTATTTGAGAGAGAGAGAGAGCACAAGCAGGGGGAGTGGCAGGCAGAGGGAGAGGGAGAAGCAGGCTTCCCACTGAGCGAGGATCCTGATGCGGGGCTTGATCCAAGGACCCTGGGATCATGACCTGAGCTGAAGGCAGACGCTTAACTGACTGAGCCACCCAGGCGCCCTTCAGCTGAACATTTTAAAGTTAGCCTTTATACTAAAGACACAATAAAATGTCTTTAAGTGATGTAAATATTTTTTATTATTTTAATAAACATTAGATATTAGGCCTAATTTTGCCAAACCTCTGAATTAAAAATGATGTGTAGTGACTTTAGCATTTTGACAAAGGACTAAACTGATAGTGACACTTCACCAGCAGACTCTTTATTACATTGGTGAAATTGGTTATTGATAGAATTCAAGACTCTTCGAAGCTCATCCTTAAACACTTTGCCAATCCAAACATCTCCCATGAGATGAAATGCTAGGCAATTTTACGATGTCAGCAGTAAACAAATCATTCTTTTAGACCAGTCATTTCAGTTGAAAAGCATTGCTCATTTGGTATTTGTCCAACCAACCCACTAATTATCCTTTATAAATTAAAGTAACACATTGAAGACAGATTTGCAATGTTAAGTGTAAAACTAAAAAATAAATATTCAGGGTGAACATTATACATAATCATCAGAATCATATCGTCAGTGAAATAAAGCACAGGAAGACATTTGGGACTTGGGTTGCCTACGAATTTCAGAAGGAAAGCTAGCTCATTTCCAGATGGTGGGAGGTTTTGGAGTTTCTGTGCTTCAGTTCATAAGAGCCACCCAATGAGAAGGAAAAAATGATATTTTAGTGCTGTAATTCCATGTCAGTTAACTTGTTGTTAATTTATAAAAGCACATTTTTATTATAAAATGACAAATGCATAGAATTAATTCTTTAAGCTCACTTTCTTGGAATATATATACTAGTGATGCTGTAAAAAGTAGTGAAAAGGTTTTTACTACTTTAAAAAAGAACTGTGCATACTTAGTAGGAAGAGTGTAGAGTCTAAAGTCAGACTGAAATTTAAGTTCCGCCACTTACTAGCTGTGGGGTGTTTTGTAAATGAATTAACCTCTCAAAGCCTCAATTTCTTCATCTGTAAAATGGAGATACTGATAGCAGGATTGTAGTAAGGTCTAAATGAGATGATGCACACAAAATGCTTCAGAAAATTTCTGGCACATAGTAAGTACTAAGTCAGTGTTGCCTGTTATAAAAACTCTGATGTGTTTTTCTGTCTTTGGTTTACATAGCCTGCAATGATTCCCATTTAGTTCTAAAGCATAAAAATTTCTCTGTGAGCCCCAGCTCCATGTCCCTGTCTTCCCAAGGATATACTCATGTACCTTCCACTGATAGCCGCTGTGCAAAATGCTTTAGGTGCCGGAATTAGCCCAAGTCCTCCAAGAGGCAAATGCCAAGACTGGATTAAATGTGTAAGAAATTTATTAGGGGAAATCCCCTGTAAGGATAACAGGGGACAGAGCTAAGAGAGCTGTGGACCCCCACACAAGTCTGACCTAGAGTGAAAAGAGGGAAAAGAAGGGGAGTGGAGGGATGGGCAAAAGGGGTGAAGGGAAGTGGGAGACACAGGCTTGCAGTTATGGAATGAGTAAGTTATGGGGATGAAAGGTCCAGCATAGGAAATACAGTCAGTGGTACTGTAACAGTGATGTATGGTGACAGATGGGAGCTACGCTTGTGGTGAGCACAGCGGAACACAGAGTTGCTGGCCTATGTTGTACACCTGAAACTAATGTTAACATTGTGTGTCAAACTGTACTTTCAGTGGGGAGTGAGAGTGTGTGCAGGTGGGTGAAGAAGGAAGGAGTGTTTTGTAGACGTGTCCTGGCCAGCCGGGCAGTTGTGAGGGTGGCAAGACTTCTGGGGAGTCCTCTAGCCGGTCTCCTGTCAGAAGAATCCCAGATCTCCCAGAAATGGGCCTGCCTTCGTATCCCTCTGGGCTCAGTCTTCATCTAGAAGCAGCCGCCGGAGGCGTGGCCTCGGTGCGTAAGAGGGCGGGGGGCGGGGGTGGTCCCGGGATCTAGAACACCACAGCTAGAGACACCTGCCAGTGATGCTCCCTGCAGTTGGAGCTCCGAGAGGCACAGTTTAAGGCCACCGTGATACTCCTGCTATTTAAAGAATGAGATCCATATTCTTTGCATTGATCTTTCAGAATAATCCACTATCTGCCCTAGCCTCACATCTTCAGCCTGAAACCATCATTTTATTCCTAACAATCTATGTTTCCCAAATACCCATAGATAGAATTCTTACATTTCAGAGACGTGTTTTATGCTGAGGGTTTTTTTTTTTTTTTCCGGCTGGAACACCCTCCCTTTCATCCCTGATGTGTTTCTCCCGATCCTTAAATCTTATCCAGCCTTTTACACATTTTTCTAATGCTACCTCTTCCCTAACCCACTCCATGTAGGTGTTACCTGTCGATCTTCCCCACATGTGTGGTGCTTGCATTTTACCAATTGCATTAGCGAGGATTAGGCTTGACTGCAAATCATAACCCCCCCCCAAAATAGCTTAAACCAGAATGCAGTATAATTACTCTCTCCTATAAAAGCCCAGAGGTTGGCAGCTCAGGTGCTGCAGCTGTTCTCCACAAAGGCCTCAGGGCCCCGGGCACCTTGGGGCTTTCTACTCCGATTCTCTAGGGTGTGGCCCTTGCCTTCGGTGTCAGGGATGCAGCTCCTCTCATCATACCCATATTTTAAAGGGGAGCAGGGGGCAGGGGGTGTCCAGTAAAAGAAAAGGCAGAGAGCATGCACCAGCTTTCTCGTACATGAGGTTTCTAGAAGCAGCCATATTTCTTCTTACAGCTATTGACTAGAACTTACATGATGACACCAAACCACTAGGGTGGCTGGGCCGCGTAGGGTTTGTTCTGGGTGACCGTGTGTCCAGATCAAGACGAACAGAGGAGAGTTATGGAGGGGACAGCTGGAAGCCTCTGCACTGGACTCGACCCAAATAGGACATGCAGCTGGATGGATTCTCCATGCTGTGTCCTGGCCTCTGCTAGATTGTAAGCTCCTTGTGACTGCTACTGACCTGCATGAGCTCATCTTCCATGGGGCACTAGGGGTGCCTCTCGTGGAGCAGGTGCTCAGTCTGTGTTTACTGAGTGCGGGAACTGAGAATTCACCAGCTTGTTTCTTAGAGAGTAAGAAACAAAATGGTATCCCATACCTTAATAAATCTTAATACTTATCTTTCATGAAGGTCACCATTAGGGAAACTGAAAATTTTCAGGAAATTAAAAAGAAAAAAGAATTTGATTTCTATTGATTTAAAAGTAATTTAAATTACTTCTTCTCTATGTTAATGCCTGTAGGTCTGATCTTAGGATCTCTGGCAAGTCCCTTAACTATTTTGGGTTTCATCTGGCTCCCACTGTGAACATAATGATGGTGATAAGAATAATAAAAGTCATTAGTAGTGTTGTTATTTTAGAAAAGATTTGGACAAGAGTATCTTCTCCAATGTACTTCTTTCTCCCCATAACTTCCATTCCATTTTTCTTATCTTTATTAAACCTTCTTGTTATCTTTTCCTGAGACTTCAGACTAAAAAACTATGAATAGTTTTTTTAAAAATTATTTTAATTTTATTAACCAAAATCCTGCACTTATCTCATACCCTTTTCTTGGGTGGGATTCCACCCAGATAATACGCATGAAAGTGGAGCCAGGTCCCAGGTCTGATCTGTTGGACAATCCGTGTGCCTTCACAGATGATCAGTGTCGTCTCAGTAAATGTCCATTCTGGAATTTATCTACTCTGTGACTGTTGTCATTTGCTCTTTATTCTTTTTCACTTATATACAGTATAGGACACAGGGTCAAATTTCACCCATTTTGACCAAGTTACACCCAAGTTAAAATGGACAGCAAAGAAAGGAAAGGCTGAAATATTGTGGCCAGGAATGAGGCCGCAGACTTCAGGAGTCTTGGTGAAATCACTAAGTCAGTAGCACTCAAGAGTGCCATCCCAAGAGGCAGTTTGGTCAGGTTGGGCCGGCTGGGCAGGGAGTGGGGGAAGGATGGGAGATAGGGAAAATATTGGAACTTCGAGAGGCATGTATTTTATTTTGAACTATCTCTCACTATTAGACTCTCCTATTTCTTCAGTTAGTGATATTATAATTATGATAGGCATATCCTTATAGTTTGAGTAAATTTCCACAACCTGATACTCTTTGCCCAATTCATCCCCATCGCTGGGAACATATAAAGTTTCCTGATGTAAAAACATGTTCTCTCTTGTTTTCCCGGCTGCAGCCCTGGCATTGTGCTTATGTACCCTCTGACATCAGATTAATCTTTAATATTCAGCCTATTAAGTAAGAAATGGGAAAAAACTGGGGAAAATATTGTTAAGCTCAAGAAAGTTTTTTGAAGAAGATAAATTTTTCGTTTAAAAAAGTATCATAAAGTATCTCAAAGCAGAAAAAAAGAAGGGAGAAAACCTTAATAAAATTCTCCCAGGCATGCTTGATTTTCCCCTTGGTTTGAAATGTGTAAATGATTATTGTGGTGGATAAAGCAAATAATTGAGGAAGTGAAACAGGCACTAGACCTTAGTCATTCTATAATTTGATGAAAAAAGAAGACATGAAAAGAAAACTCATACGGATTTTACATGAACGGCACAAAAATCAACATGCCCATTAACACTAGCGGTAGCATTACTTAATGGCATTTTAAAATTTGTTTTAGACAGCTGAAAAACTGTGGGTCTTTGTCTTTTCAAAACATTTAAATTATAGTAACTACAAAGTTGCAAATCATCACATTTAAAGTGCATTTTCCAATGAAGATACACACTTTACCCTATAATTTAAGACGGGTGTGTTTCTCTTATTATCATTTACTTAACTTCGTTTTGCCCATGTTTCTTCAGTGCACAGAAATAACTCGTATCTGTTTTTTCCATAGGGAACGTGATGCAAACAGAATCAATTACATGTATGCTCAGTATGTCAAAAATACTATGGAACCACTTAATATCCCAGATGTCAGTAAGGACAAAAGATTTCCCTGGACAGTAAGTAAACCAGTTTTGAACTTGGAGCTCGAACACGGTTTTCCCATCAGATCTGTACTTCTAGGGACTCTTCAGCTGACGGCCTGGCCCGAGAACTGGCTGTATTTCAGAGTGAACGGTGCTTTCCCTGATCTGATGAAGGAAAATACAGCAGCTCATGACATCTGTTGAGGGGTGGTCAGCTGTACTCAAGTATTTTTCCCTGTACTTTTCAGCTTTGTAATGTGTAATAATGAATGATCATAAACTAATTTATGGGGCAATTTAACTATTACCTACTTAATGTCAAAGACATTCCTTACATAGTGTTGCTAGAGTTCTTGAGTTTATCCTTAAAAACTAAGTGCCGTATGGCTCTAACTGACGTAACTGGTAATCTACTACCGTGAGTAGCTCTATGGAGAACTGAGTATGTTTTCTTTGACAGCAAAGCTACAAAGATCTCTTTCTCAGGCATTGAAAACTTGGAATTCTAGTGTTTTCTCTCATCTCTGGAAAAGTGTTGCACTTTGAGCCGCTGCCTTGATTTTGTTATTTGGGTATCTAGAAGACCTCTTTAGAACTTTAGCGATATGGGCAATAGAAACAGTGGCAGTCCTAAAGAAAGACAAGTTTGTAGCATGGAGTATCTGAGGTAACATAGTGCTTTTTGGATTCTGCTGGTCTTGTGAAGTTATTGAGATATCTACTACACCAGTATAGTAAATAATTGCATAAAGATTTTCCTTAATATTACCAAAAGCTACTTGGAAAGTTTAGAATGAAAAAAAGAAAAAGAAATATAGGATAGTTCTTAATCTTAATAATGTAAAGACTAATTGCTGCATATTGCATTTACGTGAATTTCATTATAATTTGTACATTTTCTGCACTCTGATGTTATCGCCTGCTAATAAAAGATGAATGAATTTGTTAGTGGTTTCAGATGTCTGATCTAGTTTATATAGCACCTAGTGGGAAAATCAGTCTCTTCATAATTTGCACCTGCTTTGTTTTATTTTTGTTTTTGTTTAGAATGAAAACACAGGAAATGTAAACCAGCAATGCATTAGAAGTTTGCTTTGTACGCCTATAAAAAATGGAAAGAAGAATAAAGTGATAGGTAAAGCCTTTTACTAATCTGCACTTATTAAAGAAAAAAATGTATTCCAAGAAACTTCTTTCCTTCAAGTGTAATTCTGAGAAATAAAATGTGTGAAAAAAAGATAAAAATTGGAATAAGAGAATTTTTAAATAATTTTATATTGATAAATGTTAATAGACATTGTTAAATATCTTAACTATAATGTCTTTTAGTAATTATTATAATGCTTTTCAATAGGATTTTTGTTGAAGAATGATGTGTTGAAAGGTTGTAGACTGAGAGACATCAAGTTGATAATGTGTATTGTTTTAGAGAGTCTCATTTCTTGCTTCTGATTTTTTTTAATGTGGGGTTTACATTTTAGATTGTATTCATTCGTTCAAAATATTGAGCACTCCAGTGTTCTGGTGATCTGTAATAAATTGGTGAGCAAAGTGGAAATCCTCACCCTCAGGGAGCTTACATTCTTATATTAAGGTAATAGAAAAATGTCTATTTCAGGAATATTGGAAGAATGCATCTTCAGGAAAATATGGAATGATGTTACCTATTATTGACATATTTGTTTCTTATCTATATTAAGAGTAGTACAGAAAGTATGAGGTTTTATATGCCAATCATGCATGATTGACATGTGAAAGTAGTCTGAACTGTTAACGTTGTCTTGAGAACTTGGAAATAAAGGAAATATGAGGACCTTCTAAAGGCTAAACTTTTAAATAGAAACCCTAATGAAGGGGTGCCTGGGTGGCTCAGTTGTTAGTTCGGCTCAGGTCATGGTCCCAGGGTCCTGGGATCGAGCCCCGCATCGGGCTCCCTGCTCGGCGGGAAGCCTGCTTCTCCCTCTCCCACTCCCTCTGCTTGCGTTCCCTCTCTCGCTGTGTCTCTCTCTGTCAAATAAATAAATTAAATCTTTTTAAAAAAATAAACCCTAATGAAGGGAGGCTTAGAAGTATAAATTTACCTTAAAAAGTCTAAGTAGTTTCCAGGTTGCAAGACTATAAATTTACCTTAAAAAGTCTGAGTAGTTTCCAGGTTGCAAGACTTAACTATAATTTTATTGAAGGAAGCTATCAGTCAGAAGGGCAGTGGAGGGAGGTATTATTAAGGAAAATAGGGAAAAAAAGGCAAATATTAAAATACCTATTGAGGTTCCATCCAGGGGTCAGGAAATCTTTGCCCCCCCCCCCAAGTGGAGACAGATGCAGTAAGTTGTATCAGTGTGGGTAGAGTTTTCTGTCCACGTGGTGAGGCCATCGCTTAGGGGGCAGTGGGTGTAGCAGGTTGTCGCGATCGATGACACCAGTCCCTTTGCTGGTGTGAGATGCATTCACCGGCGTGTGCCATTGAGCATCCCACTAGTCTGACTTCCCTTGTTCTGATTATTTTTTCCCAAGGTAGCTGAACTCATAGGAGGAGATTGTATTATTCATATACCCAAAAATACATTGGTTGTTTTGACAGTTGTGTCTTCTTAGAAATCTGTGAGCTGGGCTTGAGGCAGTGGGCTGGAGTTGAGCAGGTGCATGTGCTCCTGTTCTCCGGGACAGATCTGTTTCGTGCTATCCGTGAATATTCTGGTGTTAGCGGTCTTGTGAACTTAGTGACTGTGACTCTACCCCAGAGAGATGGCTCTGTCAGCCATGGTCTTCTAGTTTCTAAGCCTACAGGGAGAGGAGTCAGATCCTGACCTGGTGAATTGCCTCGTAAAGTCTCTGGGAAACCAGGCCGGCAACTCCCGGCTGGGCTGTTTGGTCCCCTGCACTCTTCACAGCTCTCAGAGAGAAAAGATGAATACACAGTGTGGGGTTTTCTTTTCAAGATTATCACCCCTCAGTTCGCTAACATAAGCAATAAGGAAACTGACAAGGGTGCCTTACTATATGATCCCAAGGAAACGTTATATTCTAAAATTTTATTTCCTAGGGAATGTAAGGTGAAAACTACATTAGAAATATGCATTAGGGGTGCCTGGGTGGCTCAGTCATTAAGCGTCTGCCTTTGGCTCAGGTCATGATCCCAGAGTCCCGGGATCGAGCCCTGCTTCAGGCTCCCTGCTCAGCCAGGAGCCTGCTTTTCCCTCTCCCGCTCCCCCTGCTTGTGTTCCCTCTCTGGCTGTCTCTCTCTCTGTGACGAGTAAATAAATAAAATCTTAAAAAAAAAAAAAAGAAATATGCATTAGAAATATATATTTTTAATGCTTTTTGATATAAGCATGAAGACTTACTACAAAGCTGCCTCTGACCTGTGAAATGAAATTCCAGAAGGGATGCATTATTCCCTCATAAGTTTTCATAAGGAGGACTGAGTGGCCCCTTGCCACATCAGGTCACATCTTTGCTTTTCCTCAGCAGCATCTCTTTGGAATAATAATGGGGCATGGGAAGTCGCTGGAGGAAGTTATATATCAGGCTTTGTCATCACGACACAAATGCAAGCTGGTAGTGAAGTGCAAACAGCCCCAGGTGGGAAGCGGGCTCCAGTGTCCATTTGGCTCCCCTCTTCCTTTAACCATTAAAAACATTATGAGCAAATGACTCACCTCTGTGGAGTTGAACTAAATAACCTTTCAGATCTGCTCAAAATTCATATGCTATGATCCTGTCATGTTTCCTTTAAGTGAGCAAAAAAATAAAAAAAATACTTGTAGAAGTCATCAAACTTGGCCTGCCTTTCATGTCACCCTACTTGATAATAGAGCCAAAAGTACGCAAATGTTATTTTCGGAGAGGAAAAATTCCCTATTAATAAAAAGAAAGGAAAAAATGGGGGTTTTGGTGTGGGGGTTCAAGTTGATTCCAAGTACAAGAATAAACATCTCCAGTGCTCCCTGCTCTTTAAAAGTGTGACAAAACAGAAAATTTGAGTTCTCGCCTGTGTTTAGTGCCCACAGATGCAGCATGGAAAATGTCATGGCTGTAGATAATTTTCCTTACATAGCACAGGCCAGATTCGTCTATTATGTAATTCTAATAGAGAATCCCCATAGAGTTACATGCAAAAAGACAGGCAGGCCCATGTGTTTTTTTGTAATCTTCCTTCCCCCTCCTATTTTTCCATTACTGACATTTAGATGAAATTATAGACATTAGACCAGTATGGGGCCTGTTGTATTCCCCGAGGTATTGTTTCATATCAAATGTTTTCTTAGTGCTCTGGCTAATACAGAGTGTTTCCAGAGTTTTGCTTCCAATGCTATTAAGGAAATATTTTTCTCATTCAACATTCATTTGTTTTAACCAATTATTTCCCCTGTTTATTAGACTAAATATGCCTTTTTCCCAAATCATATTTACCAGAAATTCTTACTCCAATTTTCCATGCCAATTTCAGGACAGATTTTGAAGAAATTAGTCCCATTCCCATCCAAAAAAAAATGTTGAGAACATCTCCACTTTAAATAACTTACATTTTCATCTCTTTGTTAACGAAAAAGTATAACAAAAATTATAGTGTTATATCCCACATCGCTTGACAGGGAAGTATGAGAAATATGTACAGTGGACTCTTGAACAATGTGGAGGCTAGGAGCACTGACACCCCCCCCATGCAGTCTAAAATCCATGTATGATTTTTAAATCCCCCAAAACCTAACTACTAGTAGCCTACTGTTGACGAGAAATCTTCCCAGTAACAGAAACAATTGATTAACACATATTTTCTATGTCATATATATTATATATTGTTTTCTTACAATAAGTAAGCTAGAAAAAAGAAAATGTTACTAAGAAAATCATAAAGAGAAGAAAATAGATTTACAGTACTGTATTTATCCAAAAAATCTACATTTTACAGTACTGTACTATATTAACAAAAAATCCACAAACAAGTGAACCCTCGCTGTTTAATCCATGTTGTTCACGGGTCAACTGTATTTCTTAGAATGTATGTTCTAAACTGATTACTATCCTAATTCTCTGCTCATTTATGTGTTGCAATTTGATTCTAAGGCATAGATAAATATTCTAAAATTATATTTTTAAATTTGACACTACTTCACTTTAGTTTTCGTATTAAATGTTGTCATTTGGCAATATCACTAACTGCTCATTTGTTTATAAAAATATTTGCTAGGATGTTCCTAATGCAAGTATAATTAAACTGTGTCATCCGTGAAACACATTGCTTATAATGCTTAAAGTATCTGAGTTTTTTCCCCAGAGAATTGTAAATTATGCTTAGTTATAATAAGCTCCAGGCAATAAGACCGTAGGGGCAATAATAACTGGAAGAAAATGAGAAAAAAAAATAAAACTAAGGAAGTAAGATTAAAATTATAAAAGTGAAAATATGTAAAATAAAAATAAGCCATAAAGACTCTTAACTCTAGGAAACAAACTGAGGGTTGCTGGAGGGGAGGGGGGATGGGGTAACTGGGTGATGGACATTAAGGAGGGCACGTGATGTAATGAGCACTGCGTCTTATATAAGACTGATGAATCACTGACCTCTACCTCCGAAACCAATAATACACTATATGTTAATTAATTGAGTTTAAATTTAAAAAAATTTTAAAAAGAAAAAAATTAAGAATTAATTGAAAAAGTAGTAAGGAAAACTTCACAGTAGTGTTGGAAAACAGAAACTTACCTTTACTAGACTAGAAACAATGAGGGAATTTCTGGAAGATATGAGGTATATGCCATTCGTAAGAACACATTTTACATAAAATGGGCAAAATTTGGATAGTGATGACAATATTAATATCAGAGAAAGTTGAATTTAAGATAAAAACATAATGTAAAGGGACGCTTTGCATTGATTAAAGTTAAAATCCACCAAGAAAGTATAATTGTCATAAATGCTTCTAATAAACTAACATCATTGATATATAAAAGCCAAAGCTATTAAAAATACAGGGAGAAATGGACAAACTGGAAGTCATAGTGGGAGCCTTTGGTACACATCTCATAGAGGGTTAAAGTACAGGATAAAATAAGGAAACATTAGAATCAATTAATATAAAAAATGAAGCGGATTTAATTAGCAACTATAGTTTTATGTTTATATTTCATAAT